GCCTCCCTCCCCATGCAGAGCAGTCACAGCAAGGTAAGACCCAAGCAAGCACCACTCTCAGGTCTGGTTGCTCAATTTGCAGTGGAATTGGCTCCCCCCGAGCTGATCCTGAGCGTCAAGGAGAATTCAGTCCATGTGAGTGCCTCCTTCCCTTTGCCCACCTGCATGGAGAAGCTCATTTGGAAGTATGAACTGAACCACTGGGAAGCTGGGTCTGAAGACAAGGTCAGTAAAAGTGGTTCTTCTCGGGGGGATAAAGGAGGAACAATGGTCAGCTTGAACTGAAACAGCTTCAAATTTCTGGATCCAGGGCCCAGAGAAAAGGAACTGGCCAAACCAGAGTTAAACCAAAGCCAGACCCTGACAGAGATGCTTGCCTGGAGTGTCTCTCCGTGCACCTCCCCAGCCCTGAAGCCACACAACGTAACAGAGGGAACCGTGGGCTGAGACGGTGGAGAAACACCCCCCAGATAGGGAGAGAACCATCTCCCCAATCCTCTGTTTTGTTTCCAAACAGAAAAAATATGAAGATAAATTCAGGAGGGACACAGTGATTATTGACACCACTGCACTCAGAGGCAACTACTGCTTCAGTGCCAGATCCATCTACGACAGCATCGGCATCAAGTACAGCGAATTCTCCCAGCCAGTGTGTGTGCCATTAAACCACAAAGGTATGTGGGCCTTTCTCTGGTCCTTCCCAGAAAAGGATGTGGTGAGACATCAAATGGGATTGGGGATGGTCAAAGATTTCCACCAAAACCGGCTCTTCAACAAACCAAACCAAACCAAACCAAATCAAACCAAACCAAACCAAATGGGCTTCCTGTTAAAGGGCCTGGTTGGATTTTCTAGTGAACCGTTCCTGCTTTCTGTAGGAACATTTTCACTTAAAAAAAAAAAAAAGCCAACCCTGAAATGTTTGCTGAACGTCCTGAATATTGTACTTGAGTTGTGCTCTTGAGGAAATTTTGGGGAAAATACGTGAATAAAGCCTCATGTTGTCCCTGATCCAAGTGAGGCATCAGCAGTCCTTTGTGGCCATGACTGTGACTTAGAGTCTGACCTCGGGCAAGTCTGTTCTCCTTCCTCTGCATTTGCAAAATACAGACCTTGAGCCCAACATTTTTTGAGGTTTCTGAAAGAACAGCTGAATACAAAGCCCATAATTGCTACAAAACCAGCACTGACAGGAGATTATTTTTCCCTTTTCTCCCTCCCCAGTGAAGTTCCCACTCTCTGCCACCATCCCTGTGTTTGCCCTCCCCATCTTCCTGATCGGTGCCTTCATCCTCTGCTTCTTGAAACAAGATGCCAAGCAAAGGAAGATGCCTCAGACTTTGGTATGGCCCAAATTTTGGGGTCCCCTCCTGCCTCAAAGTCCTGCTGGTTTTCAGAGGGGAACGGGGGAGAAGTGTGGGGGGGGGGGGGGGTTTCTGCACTTCTCAGTTTTATCTTCACAAGTCCCATTTTCAGTAGGCTTTCCTATATCCAAACTTTTGTATCACTAATTCCCTGTCTCCCTCCTTTTCCCCGGATTCCCAGGATTTTCGTCACTTCCAAGCTGCTGGAGCAGCTTTTCCCTCGGAGCTCAGCAAGGAGGAATTCTGCAGCGATGACCTGAACTGCACAGAGAAGCCAATGGCACAGAGGAGGGCAGACAGAGCCTTAGCAAGGAACAACCTACCATGGGTGGCTTCTTTCCCATCACCATCACCATCATCATCAGATGATGATGAGGAGGAGGAGGAGGAGGAAGACAGTGGCACTTTCATCCCATACCACCAAGTGACTCGCTTTCCAAAGAGACATCTCCACTGCCAACCACCCCAAGCAGCTCAGGGGAAAACAAGCTTGGATTCAGGAACTGGAGGTCTCTCTGTGGACAGTGAATACATGCCTGACCTCAGTACCTCGGGTTTCTCTTCCTTTCCAGACAGAAAGCACGGGGTGGATATGTTGGGATCCCAAGCTGATGAGGAGGCCTCCCTTTCTCGCAGTTGCTCTTTGGGGAGAATATCCCTCACTGATGTGAGATTCCCAGGTTTCAGTGAGCAGCCAGAGAGGGAGAAGAGCCTGGAAATGACCCTCCTTCAACCGCTGACAGAGGGGGTTTGTGCCAAAGGCCCTCCTGGTGAGCCCAACCCGCGGGAGGAGGGTCACCACTTCACCAGCTGTTACCAGAAATCAATCACAGAGCTGCAGGTCCAGATCCACGGGACATCCCAGCTCAGCAAGGATCAACTTCTCATCCCTTTGCACACTCTGCAGGTGGCAGAGGACGAGGGGATCTCGAGTGACTGTGACAGTGACAGTTTTACCAAAGGGACACCTCCCACCTCCACGGTGCTCAGCAACACCTTTGAACCTCCAAACACGGGGGACAAACACAACCCAAAGTTTCAGTTCAAAGGCTACAGCCGTGCACATTACTTGGGAAGGACATAGAGAATCCAGAGTGCCTGGAAAACGCTGCAGAACTCCAGATATCCAGGCAGGGACACCCGAACAAGGACAAATAACTCGAGGGCGGTGCTGGTTTTTTATTTATTCACTTAAGAGTTTTCTCTGCTGATGACTGGCCTATCGAGGCATATGACTTTAGGGACACAGAAGGTGTAATTCATTGCTCAATAACCTCTGTGCACTGTCCCAGTGTGCAGGTACAGCTGTGATAAGGTGCTCAGGCTCTGATAAGAGCCAGGGGGTGAGTCAGGCAGGGACATCTCAGGAGGCTTCACACAGTGAACAGGCACTGCCTCCTGCTGACCTGACACTTCAGAGCAAGGGAACTGCCACACGAAAGGCAAAACCACAACCCAGACCCGCGTGGGTCCTGAAAACAGAGTGTTGTGCCTGCACCTTGATTTGGAGGAGATTTTAAACTGCTAGTGCCACATTTGCTCCTCCTTAAGTGCAGAACTGCACCTCTGCTGGGCTGGCAGCACCTTCCTGAGACATTCAGCAACATCTGGTTTTTGTGGGATGAAAAAGTTCTCCACCTCAGCCTACAGAGAATCACCTTCTGTGTTCCAGCAGAGGGATAAATATTCACCGTGTTTGTTTATTTATTTTTTGTTTCATATGAATGTACTCGTGTAAGCTGAAACTCCCCCTGCTGTGCAGAGTGTCTGAGAGCAATAATATGTTGATGTTTTGATATATAACTCCATGTGTACGTGTTTTTGTGTCCCAGAGCTACAGAGGGTTGATTGCAGCTCACCCTGAAAAATATTACATTTTTAAACAGGACCCCACCCAGAGCTTCCTAATGCTGTGGTGGGAGTAGAATCCTATGAGACTTCCCAGTGCTAATGAAAGTCAAGAGGGGAGGTTGGAGAAAGGATCCATCAGCAAGAATTATCCTTTTTTTTTCTTGCCTGTCCTCTGCAAAGTGTCCTTAGGTCCACTGTAATCCCTCCAGTTCATTCAGAAAGATACAGATGATACAAACGTCATCACCACCCAATTTCTTGTGCAATCGGGGAAAAACCCCCAGGCTTTGAGTTACAGGAAGCCCTGGAGTTGTGTAACCTCCACAGAATTATTTTGACATGTCCCAGCTCTGCAAACAGGGCCTGGGATCCCTTCTTTGTCTTTCCAGGGAGCTGAGGGACAGACTGCAGTTTTCCACTGCAAAAGGGTCGGTCCCACTGCTCCCTCTCTTCAAAAAGACCTTTAAGATCGTCAAGTCCAACCATTAACCCAGCACTGCCAAGTCCACCGTGTCCCCAAGTGCCACATCCACACGTGCAGCATCACCAGCCTGGCTGCAGCCCCTCCCCAGGCTGTGAGGGAGATGGAAGTTTGGGGAGATTTGGGGTTGGAGCCCCGTTAACACCCCAGCAGAGCAGGGAACAGGAAGAGCTTCAGGAACAGACAATCCACGAGACGAAGAGGGAAGCAGAAGGGGTGGTAAACTCTGTCACGTGCCTGGCCACGAGGGTAGAGCAGTGAAAGGAGTTGTTTCCAGGTTCAGAGGCACACAGGGCTTGTGCTTTGATTCACTTGGCTGCAGGTGTGATCAAGGAATCACAGAATCACCTGAACTGGAAGGGACCCAAAATGCCTGGCACAGGACACCCACAAATTTTGCTTATGGGACTCTATTTGTCATAATAATAATAAATAAAAAAAAAATAATAAAAAAAATCTATCATTTAGGAGATTTAAATAGTCTTTAGGCAATAGAAGAGCACTGCCATAAGGATTTGTCTAATGCACAGCTGTCCTACATGTTCTCAGTGGTGGTTCTAAATCTGCATCTCCTGGAGATTTCAGTTTTGATGGAAGAGGGAAATGTCTCTCCCTCTTCTGAGAAAAATGTGAACATGTAATTTAGGAGCACAACAACAAGGCTATGGAAAAGGAACTGTATCTCCAACAGCCTGGAGATTTCACACAAACAATTCTCACCAGGCACTGAGGATGTCCAGAACAGAGCCTGAAACTGTAAACAGACACAAAAATGAACTGCAGGTCTACGGTGGGCTCTGCACAAAGCACCTGCTCCTCCTCTAGAAAGGCCACCTCTTTTGTACCTCCTTCCTCTGTCAGGTGAGAGAACCCACCTGGCAGGGCAGAGCTGAGGAGCTGGTGCTCTGCCAAGGCTGCGTGTGCTGGTCATTTGGTTCCCATCCAAGGTCAGCGTGAAGAGTGTGAAAACAAAGTGATCTGGCTGACTTACACTCTGAGAAAGTGTTCAGAGGTACCTCTTGAGGAAATAGGTGTTAAAGCCAACCAGGAGCACCAGCACTGAGTTTTAATTTCTGGAGTCACCCGACCAGCGAAGCCAGGCTCAAACCCCAGAAACCTCAGGGAGGGCTTTGGGGCAGGAAGCTCTCAGCAACAAGGTGTTTGGCTCTTTTTCAAGAGCTGGGGACTCTCCGAGGCTCTGGCTCGTGCACCTTTGTCCAGCCAGGTGGGGAGAGGAGCTCCCGCCGTGGCTCCTCACGCACGCGCACGGGGCCGGTGAGCTCAGAGCCCGGGGAAGGCGGGATAGGAGCTGTGCTGTTACTGAGCAACAAATCCAGCCTGGCCTCACAAGAAAGAATTCAGCTCCCATGAAAGGTGATTCACCTGCCCTGGGGATCGGCTGCCTGCCCTCCCAGCCCAGCCTGCACAGGCATTCATGAAGCGATTCCTGATCGTCCTGGCTGGATTTGCAGTGGTCGGTGAGTCCTGCCTTCTCCTTGCCTGGTGCTGATTGGGGTGTTTCTGTTTGGTCCTGTAGGATGGGACACAGTTCTGTCATGTTTACTGAATTAACACCTAGAGAGTGAGCTGCTGTCTGAGGTTTCATAAAACTTCTTTTCCCTGTTGTTCTTTCCTTTTAATAATTCTCGTGTAGGTTGGTGTGTTCGGTGCTTCAAGGATTACTAGGGACACAGAAAGATTCTTTCACTTCAAAGCATTTGCCATTGTTTGTTACAACCCAGATCCTACAGGAGTAAAGGATATACCTTGATCTCAGTGGGCTTTGGATCAGTCTCCTTGTGCCTTAAGCAGAGACACCAATGAATAAATAACTTCAGTTTTAAAAGAGGTACAAACAAATACTGTAATCTGAAAATCATAGATCATCATAGAGTGGTTTGGGTTGGAAGGGATATGGAAGAACATCCAGTTCCAACCCCCCTGGACACCTTCCACTAGACCAGGTTTCTCCAAGCCACAACACTTCCAGGGATGGGGCAGCCACAGCTTCTCTGGGCAAACCTGTGCCAGGACCTCCCCATCCTCCCAGGGGGAGAATTTCTCCCTTATATCTAATCTAAATCTACCCTCTAAAAGCCATTTAATCTTACTCCAGATGTGGCAAACTCACTGCTGGGATAATGAAGGATAAACTTGCTGTTTCCAAACTCCAGCTTGTCATTCTCTGCTCCTGTCTGTGCTCTTACACCACAGGGAAGGCGCCTTCAGAATCTCCTAGGACAGAAGATCTTGTCCCACTGTGAAATATCCCGGTTTTCCCCTGCCCACACTTGACTGTGCTTGTGTTACACTGCTTTGCATAGCAGTTGTAGTGTGGACAAATGTGGGAAGACAGAGATTTCCTACTCCTGATACCATCAGGGGATTGGTGACTCAGTTTTCAGGGTGCTCAGACAGGGAAACCCACCCCAGGATGGGGGTGCTGAGCCTTGAGCGAGCAGAGGCAGGTGTTGAAATCAGGGCTAGAGCTGGACTAAATTTCAGTCCATTCCTGTGTCATTTCCCTGCCCAAATACCACACACAACCCTGTCCCAGGTGTTTATCGACACCACAAGCTGAGCTGAGGACCTGTCTGTAAATCGAACTTACAGAGCGCAGAAGTCCTAAAGGTTGCCCTGCAACTTAGAACCTTGTGACTCAGCCCTGGGAAATTTTGCAGTGTTTGTTCTCAGGGCAGGAGACAAAAGTCTGTAGGACATTTCTGCAGCACCTGCTCAGGGCCACTTTGCTGCAGGGGGGACTGTGGTTGTGTCCTGCTCACGTTCGTCAGGGACAGGTGACATCCCTGCTCACCAAAGCCAGAGCCCATCCTCTGTGGGGCAGAGGAGCAGGGCTTGGATGGCAGGGAGCTGGGAGAGTTGTTTGCTTTCAGCCTGGCACACCCAGATCAGAGTCCAGACATCAGGTCCCTGCGTGCCACTCTGGGCAGATCCACCCAACAAAACACGGAGCAGGAGAGGTCAAGGCGGCCACATCTCCAGGGATGTGAAACTGAACTCTGCAGGCCACTTCCCTGAGCAGGGGCAGAAAGCAGAGGCACTCACAGACATGATTCTGGCCTTGAAGACAGGTTATTATTCTTATTTTACCATTATTGTTGTTTTACCGGTCTTGTTTTACCTGCTTTAAAAGAAACCTGACAAGAAACTCAAGGATTCTCCCTTTGACTTGAGTTTTTAAGGCCTTTCTATGTAACCTCCTGACTTCCATTTCTTTGGGGTGAGTCAACCATCTGCAAGGTGTTTGTATGATGATGTGTGCAGGGTTTGAAGTCTCGTTCTGCTCAAGCTTCTGCTTTGAGGCCCAGCTGGAGCAAAATATCAGGAAGTGGCATCCCTGATATTTCTGTTCACTAAAAAGCACCTGACCCATGTTCAGCTGAGGGCTGAGCTGCCAGAATATGCTTTTTAATGCCAGTTTCTTTGCCCCTGCAGGTATTGTGGCTGCAGGGAGATCGTCCTGTCTGAAACGTGTAGCGTTTTCTTCCACGAACTTTGAGAACATCCTGACCTGGGAAACAGAAGCAGATACTCCCCCTGGCACTGCATTTGATGTCCAATACAAACAGTACGTGGAGTTTGCTTCTCTTTGGAGCTGTGCTGTTCTTGGGGAGAGAGAGAGGAGGCCCAGGAAACAAAAGCTGGGTTTGCTGTTTCTCCCTCCTATTTTGCTGTTACAGAAAAGGCTCAGCTTGGGGAAGAGCTTGGTGAAGGGCAGTGATATTCAAAGTGCTGCATGACCCTCAGTTAGGCAAATATTTCACATCTTTGCTCCCTTCCTGAGCAGCTCTTTGTCTTTAGCGACGTCCTTCTCTACCCCGCCATCCCCTCGCCTGTCCCCACCGGCGAGACCTCCTGTCAACCCAACCAACCAAACAACCCCAAAAGCTTGTGTATGCAGTTTGTTTATTTATTCGTTTGCTTTTCAAACTCAGGTATGGAGAGAAGTCCTGGCTCCCCAAGGCCGAGTGCCAGGGCACGGGCCAGCGCTCCTGCAACCTGACCCGCGAGACGGAGAACTTCACCGAGCATTTCTACGCCCGCGTGAGGGCGGCGGGCAGGCCCGGCTGCTCCTCAGGATGGGTGCGCTCCGAGAGGTTCGAGCCCAGGAAGGAGAGTGAGTTCCCTGCCCAGATCGCCCTTGCCAGCCCAAATTTAGGGTGGCACCTCTCCCCCTGTTTCGGTGTCGGAGGGCTCTGAGCTTGCTGGGGAGGGAGGGAGGGAAGGGCTGGAGGTTTGGTCTTCCCGGAGATCTGAGGTCGAAGTGGGATGACAGGGGGAAAGGAAAAGCCAGGTGACTGTGATTCTGTGATGATTCTGTGATTCTGTGATCCCATGACTCTGTGACTGTGAAGGAAGAGCTGCTGTTAAGGCTGGTGAGAGGCAGGAGGAAACGAGGAAGATACAACCTGAGGACAGTCATTAATACAGTCCCAGGAGCTGTGAAATGTGAGCTCCTGAAAACTGGGATCAGCATTCAGCCCCATGGATGCTTCATGTTCCCAACCCCTAAGTGAGCCCTCCTACAGACACCCCACACAGCCTTTGGAAGCATTGTTGGCTCTGTGACTAAACCCTTCCACTGCATATTCATCCAGAATAACTCAAGGTGCCATCACCAGTCAAGGATTGTGAAGGGCCTTCAGATCTTTGCACGAAATGAGCTGTGAAGAAGCAAATTAATGTCCATGGACATTACATGTCCAACTGCTGCTCTTAGAGCTGCTCTTAGAGTTGGGGTTAAACCTCTGTTTAATGTCATGTGCCTGTCACTGGGGATGCTCATACAGCTCAAACCCCTTTTGTGCATGAGCAGAAGTAACAATTTCAGGTTTTTTTGGGGGGTGGGGTGTTTAAGAGGATCTGATAATTATCAGCTTCAACCTTCACAGCCGACACTGCCTGTTGTGCCTTTCCCAGCTGTTATAGGAGCACCACAAGTGGAGTTTATTCCCTACGTACGGTCCATAAAGTTTCTCATCCGGCCCCCCTACACCCCCCTGAGGGGGGAGGATGACCGTCAGCTCACCGTGGAGGACATTTACAGCAAATTTGGGGCTGTTGATTATCACCTGACAATATTCAACCAGAGGACGCGCCAGCAGGTAAAGCACAACCTCAGGCACCGGCCTGTGAGTCTGTAAATCACATTTTGGGTTAGATGGGGAAGGATCCCAGAGCTTAGACGTGATGGAGGAGATTTCTGATGGGCAAGGGAGAGTCTTGGAGTCTTTGGCTCTAGGCAGACAACGGGAGCTTTAAGCATTCCTCTTAAATTCTGGAAAAGAAACTGGAGTTTCCAAGGGGACTGTGTGAGCAGCAAAAAGTAAAACCAATGGTGGCTAAAAAAAATGAGTTGATTAGTTCAAGTCTCAAGAAACCGAAATGCAAAATTAAAAAACGAGAACAACAGAAAGCAAAGGGACATAAATATTTAGAATTCCATAGGTACAGAATAATTATAGCACTCAAACACCTTATCAGTAAAATCATGCTTTATGCTGCATTTTGCAAGGTGATTTGAAGCAAATGTAGCATTTAACCTTTTTAAAACACAGATTTTACCTTTGCTTTCAACAGTGGACAAAGAGTGAGCAGAACAAAGAATTCGAAGTTTCCAACTTGGACCCAGACACGGAATATAATGGAACAGTTTACATGTATCTCCTCCAGAGAAGCAGCAAATCTCAAGTGTTTTGGGTTAAAACACTAGAAGGTGAGGCTGTTAACTCTGCTGATTGAAAAGTCCAGCCAGGGTACTGGCTACACAAAATACACTGATTTTCATCAGTGTAATTTTTAAATAATTTAGAAACTAAACATTGTGAGACGAAACCCATAACATCATTCAGCCAATCTGGTGCAAACCAATCTTTCTACTTATTGTCTTCCCCACTGACCAGACAAGACATGGGTTCTCTACAGCCTGGTGGCCCTGGGGTTCTGTGCTGGGCTGGTGTTTGCTGCCACTGCTTGCATGATCTACAAATACGTCAAACAACACAGTGCCCAGCCCATGGCTTTGGTGAGTGTCCTTCAGCCCCTGCAGCAGAGCTGCAGGATCATAAAATCCCACAATAGTCTGGGTTGGGAGGGACTTGAACAATCAGGGATTATCACCCATCCTTCACCTTCACGTGAAATGAGCTTAAGGGATAATAAATGACATTATTATTTCCACACTCCAGGGCTTAGGCTACATTTTGCATAAGTTGAAGGATGGGGTTTTCCTTCCTTGTATTTTAGTTGATAAGCAGTGAGAGCTCTCTGGTTTGTACACCCGTGAAGGGCCATTCCCCAGGAAAAAAAGAGTTCTTTTGTCAGCAGAGCAGATTCCTGCTGGTTGTTACTGGCTTTTGCTTCCCCAAAGAAAATTTTAAAGAATCCAAAGCAACTTCTGCTTGTTTGTCCACTCCAACAGGACTTCAGAGGGATTTCGTCGTTCCAGCCTCTCACTCTGACGGTGGAGCACATCATAAAGCCCATCAGTCTCTCCAAACCTTCGCTCTTCATCCCCGAGGTGCCGCTGCCGCAGATCGGCCAACAGCTGGACCGGGCGCTGGAGCCACCGCGGCCTTCCCGTCCCCCAGAAAGTGTCTGTCACCAACAGGCAGAGGTGCCAGCGTTCCAGCTGCCCCCTCAGCCGTCCTGCGTGGAAGTTACAGCTCCAACTGGTTACGCTCCCCAAAAGGCCGAGCAGAGCGTTCCCACTTCCACAGCCGACAAACCCCTGCCCGTCACCTACGGGGTGTGTGTGGAGGGCACAGACCACGCTTATGAGAACTTGAGGCCACACCAGACTCTTCAGGAAGCCTCTCCAGGTCGTGTTGTTGGCGGAGAGCTCCCTATCCCTGAGCTGGGAAAGAGCAGCCTCTGGAATTACAAAGAACAGCAGCCAAGCGTGGCACTGTGGGGAGGGAGCAGGGACAGAACAGGGACGGTTCCCTTCCAGGGCAGCCCTGGGAAAACGCAGCTGCTGATGCTGCTGCAGAGGGACAGGGGGGAAAATCCGGAGTATTTGAGGCCCCCGTTGTCCCTGTCTTTGCTGAAACAAGGAGGATGCTACAGACAACAGGCAGCGGGGCTGTCACTGCCCGCGAGGAGCGCTGGCACGGACTGCTCTGCAGAGCAGGAGCTCTCAGCATCCCTCCTCTCCTCCGTCCGGACTGGGAACGACTCCCCTGCAGAGGACAGCGCCGAGCAGTGGATGCTGCCAGATCCGTTCCCACATCGTCCTGCAAACAAAGCGCAGCTCCCAGAGACTCCAGAGATGTTCCCAGCGGGGAAGTGGCTGAGCTGCTCCCGCACCGGCCCGGGCAGTGCCCTCACCACGTTCTTCGAGGATTTGGAGTTAAAGCTGCAGGGGGATGAGGATGGGAACACGTAATTTTAGTTAGGGTGACGGCAATGTTAAAGTGCGGATTTAAAAACGTTTTCTTGCATAAAAACAGAAGCAATGCAATAAACACAGCTGATCCTGGGTGGATTGACAGGGCACAGGGTGGTCAGGCTGTCCCATCGTGGAGATTGGTACTTTTACTGGTGTAATTACTTCTTGGGTCACTGCAATATCATGTCTTTTCACTTAATTTCTTGCACATTCTTCAAATTTATTATGAATTGGATTACTTTAAGTAGGATTCAGGTTCTAATTCCAGATCCAGTTCACTGAAAATTTAGCAAAATTTACAACAGAAACTGCCTTTGCCCTTTACCAACACCAAAGATCCATTTGAAGAAATTCAGGGATGCAAACCTAAAAGAATTAAGTGTATCATGGCACAGTAAAAGAATTAAATAGAAACTGGTGGATATATATAATTCCTGGAAAACAGTAGGCTGCTTCCCTGGAATGGATTTTGCCTTTAAAGGAGTCACTGAAACTGGGTAACAGCTCCTGATGCAGCAGTTCTGTGAAACATGTCCTGCTAAAGGCTCTTTAAAGCTTTTAGCACTTGCACAGTCCCCCCAAAAAATCTAAATTCTACTTGTTCAGGGTTCAGAGGAGGAAATTATTTTTCATTCAGTGGAAAGCAGAGTTCAGGCCGTTGATTTCCACTGCTGTGGTTAAAAAAAATGCATCTGCTGACATCAGTTTTAGAGGAGAACTGAAAGCATTTATAGGAATAAGCGAGGTTTGAATGGTATGGGGAAGTATTTGCTCGAAGAGCCAAAGGCTGACCAGAAACAAAACTCATCTGTTCTCACTCCAAGTGCCCTGGGGTGTTTTGTGACTCCAGGGAAGCTGAATCTAAAGGCTGAACTCCTCTTGCTTTGGGGTGATTTTGCAAATCAGCCACAGCCTTGTGAGGCAAAGATTTTTGATGATTCAACCCAGGATTAAAGGAGTGACTTTCAGAAACTTTTCCTGGCAAAGGTTCAGCTCTGAACTGCAGGAGCCAGAACTGACAAAACCCCCTGGCCACGTCACGTGAGGCCAAAAGGTCCAGGTGTGGTGAGGAACTGTCCTGGCACAGGCTCTGAAGGGTTTAAATACTTGCAGGGTTTGGGCAGAGACCAGAGGGACATTTCCATCCCTCACTCCTCTTCTCACCATTCGGTCCCAGAGGGTTTGGGGAACGGCCTTTGATCTGTGTCCCGTGCTCTGTGCCCCCAAAAAACCAACACACAGAGAAACTCTGCAGCTCCAGGAGCTGCAGCAGCCCAGCTGGGTTGATTCCAAGGGGTGTGAGACCCCAGGGGGAATATTTCACCCCACTGAAGCCCCCCTGGAGAGGCTTTTAAAGCCACTGATGGCAATCACCTTATTCAGAGTTGCCCGTGGGCTGCATATCTCGTGTCAACAACATTCCCAGCGATGCTGCTCGGGGAATCATCAAATGCCACAATGTCAACATTCTGGCTTGTGTTGTGAAACCCAACCCCCAGCACAGGATCAGTATGGGCAGCCTGGTGTGGAAGGAACAGGGGCTTTGAGGGGGCGTTTGAAGGTGCTGTTAAAAAATCCATCATTCACTATTTTAAAAGCCTTTTCAATTCCATCTGCAGACCCCCCTGCCACAGGGTCTGACCACGTCCAGATTGTGATAAATGTGTCATCTTGGTGGAGGAGAGATGGAAACTGAGGTGCAGAAAGCCTGGGAATGGGTTTTTAGAATGTCTGTAGGCTCCTAAAGATGCAAAGTGTCCCAGAGCTGGAATATCCATCTCTGCCCTCAGGGACCTTAAACACTTCAAGGCTACGCGGCCTCTGACTGCACAGAAGGGCTGTGCATGGCAGGAATGATTCCAGCCCCATCCCATCCTGCCTGTTCCACCCCTCCCAGCAGCAGCTGGGATGGTCAGGGATGACAGGCAAGAGGGACACTCTGAGCTGACTCCAATATTCCCAATTTCCTGCTCTCACCATGGCTTAGTCAATGTTTATCTTTTAGGCCTTGATCTTCTAAGCAGAAGGACATCGGTTCTTGACTCATGAGTGAGCTCTTCAGTTTAACAGGAAGATCAACCCCTCAAAAACTGTTTTATCTCCAGAAAAGCTTGGAGAGAGATGTTGACGTTATCGAACTTTATTGGAGCTGTGCAAGGAATGTGTCACCCCTCCCTCCCTCCCTCACCAACCCGTGCTGACCTCACTGCCTTCAGCTTCACTGCTGTTCAGAACAAGCTGATCCCCCCTGTTTGTGCCCAGCAGCCACTCCAGGACCTCGTTATCTCAGCCTGTCAACATTTTCCAGTCGCACAGCAGGATTTCATCACTGTCTCAAAGGTCTCCCCCGTGCCAGCCACCTGTGCCCAACAACACCCTGTTCCTTGGCTATCTTGGCTCTTGCAGATAACAGTTCTGAGAGCTGTAGATGGTGAATAGGGCAGGGCTCTGCCACAAAGGCTGCGGGTGTGGCCGGGCAGATGTCCCGGCGATGACAGGTGAGCAGTCCCGGCTGTCCCGGGGACATCGGAGTGGCAGGTGGCAGCTGAAACCCTGGAGCAAAGCACTCACTGCTCTTTGTCTTCCCAGCTAAATCTGGGAGCTGGCACTTGCTCTGGCTCCCAAAGGGATCCTCGCCTGGGGGATGGACAAGCTGCAGGCTGAGGTTCCTGCTCTCCCTCCCTCCCTCCCTGTTCCTCATTTCGGTGTTTTTGGAAGGTGCCCTCCCTGCCTGAACGCTGTGGAAAATCACTGATGGGTTTCTAACATCTTAACTCAAGGGACAAATGAAAAGCTCCAAATTCTGGAGGCAGAATGAAGCAGAGTTCAGAGAGTCACAGAATATGCTGAGCTGGGAGGGACGCACAAGGATCATCCAAGTCCAATCCCTGGCCCTGCACTGACACCCCAACAATCCCACCCTGACAGTGTAGCCCAAACCCTCCTGGAGCTCTGGCAGCCTTGGGGCTGTGCCCACTGCCCTGGGGAGCCTGTTCAGTGCCAACCACCCTCTGGGGGAAGAACCTTTCCCTGAGATCCATCCTGACCCTGCCCTGACACAGCTCCAGCCATTCCCTGGATCCTGTCACTGCTCACCAGGCACAAGGGATCAGTGTCTGCTCCTCTCTATAAATATATCTATATAAACCAGATTTGATGTCTTGGCTCTGGCCTGCCTGCAGTGCTCTCAGTGACAGGGCAGTGGTGCAGCAGGACTGCAGCAGCTGCACCTCCTCACCCTGCACAGCATGGAAAATGTCCATGTGGATCTTCCTTCCCCTCAGTCTGAGATAATGCCAGCTGTGAAACACGATTATTAGATGTTTTTAAAAGAAAAAGGTGAACAAAGTGGTCAGCATTTACGCAACAGAGGGTTGATGTGACAAAGATGAAAGTTCTAGTGCTGATCTTGGGTTTCTTCTTCGGGTAGTGAAGCAAACAAGGAAATGGATCCTGCTGATCTGGGCAGGGTGACTCAACCTGGGCCAGAACTGATGGGAGAGTTCATTCCCATAAGGCCCCTGACACCACAAAAAAATATCACCTGCCTCTCACCTGGCTGGGAAGGGTTTATCCTGGATGCTGGAATTGCAAGATTATCTCAAATGAATGGAAAACCAGCAGGAAAAAACAGATACCACCATGGGCAGCTGGATACCCAAACTCACCCTCCATTGAGGCACCAAGCCTTCAATTGGCTGTAAAAAGGAAAATAAACAGTCACAGCTGACCAAAAACTTAAGAGCTGCTGTAGCTCCTGGTCTAGTTACACACTGACAAGGCTTGCCTGGAGTTGCCATTCACTACAGAGATGCCAAAGCCAATAATTTCCCTCTCTCACCCAGCAAAGTTACCCCGAGGGAAATCCCTGGGGGAGGTTAAAATGCTCGTCATTCGGTTTGGGTGTGCTTTGTGAGCTTCCAACAACCCAACCCTGTGAATTTTGGAGGCACCTGCCTGCCCTCCCATCATCTGGCAAAAAGGGAAAAACTGGCCTGATTTGGAGGGAGTTTGGGAGTCCTTGGCACTGCGGTGACCACGCAGGAGCTCCCCATTGTCCCGGGGAGGGCAGGGCACGAGGCTAAATTTGACTCCAGGATGGGCACTCCAACATGGGGAACATTCTTTTGGGGAGAGTCATTCTCAGTGTCATCAACAGGGAGAAGGGGAAGCCTCCTTTGTCCTTTCTCTTGCCTGAGGACAGGAGCTCTCAGCAGAGTCTTCACTGGGTGAGTCTGGTTTATCTGTAAATAAGCTGCTGTTTGTTGTGTGATTTTTAGAAGACCTTCAGAGCAGCATCAGTTATTCTTTCTTCATGACAGCTTTGTCTGAGTTGCACTTCAGAAATAGGCTGTGCTTTGTCATTGTATCTGCTTTAAAGTGTCATTGCTGCTTTTCTGTTCTGTTTTCTTTCCTGGTCTGTTTAGAAAATAATATTGACTTGAATGGAAAAGTGTAGGTTTTAGCAGATCAGAACTCGGTATCTTTACGCAGATTGTAAAGCACTGAAATTTGTCCAGGGAAAAGTAAAAATAAAACATTATCTAGTAAAAATGATTCTGGATCAGTAATTATTTGTGAACATGGACACAAAGATCTGATACCCAGGACGACAGGAGTCATTCTGCAGCTGAATCTCCTGAAGAGACCAATATGCCATGCAATCACAAAGATATTCTCCCATAAAAACCCGTTTTATTTTCACTTTCTAACCCAAAAATTCTTTGTTTCTTCCAAAGTTAACATCTACTAAGGAAATATTATCGTGTTAATTCCTTCTTTTCTTTTTCGTGTTGGGATATTTGCCAGGATAATTGTGCTTTTCCAGCCAACTGTGCTTTTCTGTGGACTCTTTATAAATTTATTTACAGAAAATCAACAGAAAATCGTACAAGTTAAGAAAGAAAAAAAAAAAGGCATGAAAAAATCATCCCAGTGAAAGCTGAGGGGTCTGTATTTTTTACAGAGCTCGGATTAGAAAGCAGCAAAGCCGAAATCGGGGGCGAGGGGGGGGGGCGGAATTTGCCAAGGGAAAATCTCAGTCATGGAACATGAGCTCGGGAAAGATTTACAGGCACGTTTGAACCAGTTTTATTCGTCAACAATTGCATTTGTGAAGCTGCTCTCCCACAGCAACCCCAGCTCTTAGAACTTGTAAACCTGCACAGTTTAAGGTTTGGGCTGTGGGGGTTTGAATGGATTGCAGGGAGAGGGAGATAAGGAGGGAGAGGCTGTTAAAATTTACTTCAGTTTAATGCCCACCCCTCAGTCAGAGCCCCAAAGCAGCGAGCTGGGGGTTCCCAGGGCAGGGGAGGCAGCAGAG